GGCAGAAAGCAGTCTGGTCGGTGCCGGCCGCGGCCGCAGGAGGGCGGACCGGACCGGACCAGACCGGAAATCCGCAGTCTTCGGAATTGGCCCGGAAATCCAAAGATAGTTCGAGCTGCAGCTTGACCACAGCCGTGGGACGGGCCAATGAAGAAAATCAAGGCGAAAGCCTCGAACCGCATGCCAAAAGACCCTCGAAGTGCGAGGGGTCTAGGAACAAGCCCAACTGTGGCCATTCACAGAAAGCAGACCAGTCAACCCGGACCTCTCCCTGTGGTTTGAACCCCAGATGAGCAGGGTCAGCAGACCGACTTAGTACATCGGCCACATCGTTCACGATGCCCGGAACGTGATCAATGTGGACGGAAATGCGGCAACGTTGCTGACACAGGAAGAACGAGCGGAGGACGGAACACAAACCAGAGGCCATAGAGAGGCAGCGTTGTCGCACCGAAAAATGCCACGGGCAGGTGGCTGGGTCCCAGAAGCAAGTGAAGAAGGTGGACCAGGGCACACTGTGCCAATAGTTCCCAGGAAGAGATGTAATTCCGCATGGAAGCTTGAGGCGGCAACCATGGGAACATGTCATGTAATTGGGCCGCGGAAAAAGTGCTCCGGAAAAAAAGTTGGCGGCCGTCCGGTAAGCGGACGAAGCCACCAAGGCCCGCGGATGTAGGCGTGGCGCAGGCATCAGCGAATGCCTGACATTCCAGGCGTGGAGGGCGCAAGAGCGACCGGCAGGCCGTGCCAGATGCAGCCAGATCCAGCCAGAGGCGGAGAACAAGACACGATTCCTCTGACAAGATGCAGATGCCCGTAGACTGGATCCAGATACGACGGGAGTCAGACGGGAGGAGCGGGAGCTCCGCCAGCGAGGAGACACAGGACTGACCGACACGCAAGATACGAGACCCTGGTGGCAGAGCGGCCAAACCCACATGCTGCAGCAAACGAAGATCCGACGACAGTTTAGAGCGGAAATCACTCCAGCGTTGCGGATCCAGGGCAGCCATATGGTGGGCAGAAAAGCGTGTCGGTCAGCGTAGAGCGGAGCCAGAGAAGGGCGGAAAGTCTTGAATAGCGAAGACAACCAGAGGAGCTTTCCGGTGATACGCTCAAGAAGATGCGTTGAGCAACGTCGTGACGAGAGAGCCTGGCGAAGAAGAGCACAGAGTCGCTGGAACTTCTGCGGGTCCAAGCGAACAGTAAAGATTGCAAGATCAATTTCCCAGCCGATCCAAACAACGCGCGGGGACAGAGGGCATTTGTGCCAGGAAAGAGGGACCTGCAGAAGAAGAAGAAGAAGAAGCAAAACGACGATATGCGAAGCCCAAACGGGTGCAGAAGCGGAGTCCAGAAGGCAGAGCAAGTCGTCGATGTAGATCTTGGCAGAGTGACGGACGCGGATGAGTTTGTGGACTAGACGAACCAATAGTCCAGCGGCACGTGCCCAGAAGAAGCTGGAGACCCGTGCGCCAAAGTTTAACGTAGTGCATTGATAAATAGCGTTCTTGTGCCGGAAGCAGAGCAGGCCACGGTCCTGCTTGCGAATAAGAATACGGCGATGAGCCTTGGCCACGTCCAGAACGAGTGCAACCAGGCGTTCCAGGGAGTCACCCTTACCGGGCGAACCAGTTACAGTCCCGGGCGGACCGGTGAGGGGTTTGGGAGGGCGGGGCCGGGCCTGAAGCAGGTTCGCCATCTCGCCACGGCAGAAGGCAACTTCATTGAGGGAGTCAGAAAGGCTCCAACCGTGGTCCCGGATAAGCTCAGACACGGAAGCCCACACAGACCTGTCAGCGAGGACGATGCAGAAATCTGTCACTTTTGATCGAGCATCGCAAGCGCCGTCGCGAACAGACTCATAGAGCGGCGAAGTACCGGATCCGATGGGCCCTGCGTGTTAAGGTTGACCGATGCCGACGCAGGTTCCGCGTCAGCGTCCAAGAGGGAGCGGAGTAACTGACGGTCATTGCGAGGGCGTCGGGCCTCCTCCCAGCGGGTAGCATCGGACTCGGAGGTGCGCAGGCGCCACGGGATCCACAGGGACTGCTGTGCGTCGTGATGGTTTTTTAGCAGAGACAAAAAGTCAACCGAGGGGGCAGAGTCCGGGGTAAGGAGCTCGCCCGGGTATTTCGCCAAGAAAGTCTTGCACAGATGCAAGAGATCTGGCACAGCGATTTTGGTGGCAGAGGCTGATGGTGCAGGCGCAGAAGGCTGTGCTCCGGAGCCAAGTGCTGGCTTGGGCGGAGCAGCAGAAGAGGCCTCAAACAACAGCCGACGCAGGCAGGAAGAGTCAGCCGAAAACGAGTGCAGCGTCATCCGTGTCCGGAAGGGACAAGGTGGACCTGACAAACAGCCGGACCTCGTCAGCGTCCGACGGATCGGACACAGCGAAGGCCAATGACCCCAGTGATGCAAAGCCTTTTCCGGAAAGGGCTGTGCGAACAGCTGGGGAAGCCGAGAGCTGGTCAAGCATGGCCACCAGGGCCGCCGGATCGTCCAAGCGAGGTCGGACAGACATGCCGGGCAGGCGCGAGGCGACCGAGGAGGGGAGCTTGACTAGAGTTCGAAGAAAAAAACAGCTGCGGCACAAAGCATGCACCTACAAAAAAGCAAGAAGGAAAGTGCAAGCAGTGACCAAGAACGCAGCAAGTGCAATTAATTAGTCGCGATGCCGAGTTTTCACACCGAGGCCCGCTGTCAGTGCCTCAGAGAAACCTAGCGACGGCGGTGACAGCGGCGACACATATGGTTGGCGTCAGAGGACGGCCACAGAGGCGGTCGCAGCCGGGAACCCAACAGGCAATGGTGCAAAAGTCCTGGGCCTAGGGAAAACCACGGCGTTTTGGCGCCTACCTGTCGCCCCATCGGCACCGTCCCCCACACCGGCGGACGCACCTGCTGCGGTCGACTCTGAGGCTGCTCTGGAGTCACTTTCGCTGACGAGGGCCCGGTGCCGGATGCGCCACCTGCACCGGCCGCACCTAAATCTGCGGCTCCGCCCCCGTCGGCCTCTGTGTCTGCTTTCGGCTTCCTTTGGAATGCTCGCAGCAATGTCGTCCATGTTGCCATGCAGACAGAGCCGTCGGCCATCAGGTCCAAGTCCTTTGACGTCGCCGGTGCCACCGTCTGGCTCCGCCCTTTGTGCGGTGCACGCACACATCAACTGGACCCGGACAGTTTTTGTAAGAAAGCTCCTGCGGACGCCATCTTCTGTACTCGCACCAGCTGCTTTGCGCGCTGGCCCGTAGCTGCAGAAATGGTTCGCCTTGCATCTTTGATTGGCATTGCTAGCCCATGTGCTCTAGGCCAGGTCTTATCTCGTGCTTCCCGCAGCCGTTTTCTCTTATTGCTTCCGGAGGGTTTTTTTCTCACGGAAGAAGATGAGGGTGCGCTGGCGGAGGCCCTGTCCACGGCCGATGCAGCCCCGGCCATTCCCGCGTCTGCTATGTCAGATACTTTACCGTCACCGGGCGGTGCTTGGGATACGCCGCCGGGACCCGCCTCCGCTGACACCACACCCCCAGTGGTGGGCCCTGACTCCGGGCCCGGGTCATCTTCAGGCTGGGCCCCTCCTGGTGACTACTACCAGGCTCCCCAGTCTAGTTCCGGGAGTCAGTGGTCGGGATACGGGAAGTTTTCCCCTGTTCCCATGCCCTCCGTGCTGGTTCACGGTCAGCTCCTGGACGGGCTGTCTCTTCCGGATGTCCGCCAGCGGCTGCTCACCATCCTGCACGCGATGGAACATCGCCAGGTGGGCCAAGCCCGTGTGGTGCTGGCATCGCCACCCAGCCCTCCGCCCCAGATCCCGGCACAGTCTTCCAGTTCCGGAAGAGGGGAAAGTCACAGGAAAATCAGGCAGGGGCTCAACCAAGCCACGGGCCATCGTCAACCGAATCAGATCGGAAGTCGGCAACGAAGCAAGCGCAGACTGCCGGGCTTGTTGCGGACGGTCTAAAAAGGCTAAGATCTCTCCCCACGCCTCAGGCGAGCGAGAGCCGGAAGCGGAGCCAGACTCGCCATCAGCGGCAACCACTTCGGGAGCCGCGGGGGCGGTCTCGGCCGGAGGCGGGGTAGTGGCAGAGGGCTCCTCCATGGCCGGCTCAGTAGTTTCACCGCTGTCGGAAGTGGGAGACAGCAGTGGGCCCGGGCCAGGAGCGGGAGCAGCCACAGACTCCTCCCCGGAGGCGGCCGAAGTGCGCGAAGTAGACGGGATGTCCGCGGCACCGGTCATCATGTAGATGGCGACGGCAATATTGGCGGGGAGCATCCAAAAACACTGCAGAGCAGAGCGGCTGCGGAAAGGACACACAGGAAAACATGAGATCTCTGCAAGGCATGCGACACCGGAGCAAACAGAGGCACGCGGTGGTCAGACATGCAAGCAAATAAAGCAGACACGGTCCTCGGATGCTTGAGAGCACCGCGAAGGAGACCGGCGTCGGGAGCGTGAAGAAGAAGAACTCCGAGTCCGGCGACCTGGGCGCGGACAAGAAGAGCAAAGATCGCCGCCGGGTCAGATTGAGCACCAGGCGGGCAGATCTTGAGATAGACGAAGACCGGGAGGACCCAGAACGACGTCTACGGTGTCGCCGTCGCCGACCTGGTCGGGCAACGGGCAAGCACCAAACAAAGAGGGAGAGTACAGAACGCCTCGCCTCTAGCCATCGAAAAGCTGCAGGCACGCCCTTTATCGAAAAGCTTCGGTACCGGCTCCAGTAGCGGAACCGGAGCCGTCTGAGCCCGCAGCTGCGGGTTCAGACGCGGTTCCGTTGCGGGCTGGCCAAACAAACCCAATCAAAGCTCGGAATCGCTTATGTGTGTATATATATAACACACACACACACTCTGGATTGCTGATTTGCTAATTTGTATCATCTATCTATCTATCTATCTAACTAACTATCTATCTATCTATTCATTGATGGTGACCTCCATGATGAGTACTACAATGGACAAACTCAAAAAGGAGTTGAGGCAGAAGGGTTGAGTTCTCGAGTGTCATTAAGTACCCTAGGGCTCTTAAGACCCCAAATAGACAGGCTTCCCTAAATTTGAAGCGAGAACTCCCTCTTGGAAAAGACCCCAAACATCTAAATCCCAAATTCTCAACAAATCTGCCAAAATCAGCTGCGCCGCTCGGCCAGCAACCCCCGCACAGCCTGCAGCTCCTGCAGTGTAGGGTTCAAGGGTTTAGGGTGACCTGAAAGGGTCCGGAGCATTTGGGGACCCGGATTCGGCGTCTGTATATTTGGGGTTTAGGGTTTAGGGTATAATCATGACCCCGCAAGTTCAATCGAATAGACCCTAAACCCCAAACCCCAAACCCTAAACCCTAATCAAGGGTCCCTGGTTTTCTGGAACTTCCATGCCTGGCAGGTGCTGGTAGTTGCCAGGAAGAGGGGCCGTAGTAGAATAGCATAGAGGTAAGAAGACGAATAAACAAAACGGCGCCAACAAGGAAACATACTGTAGATTTGGGGCTCTGCTATACCCGAGCAATAAAAAGTAGCCCTGAGGCACAGTGTATTTCAAGATTGCTCGAACTTCTGAGTTCGGCTGGTGGCACTGCGCTGGTGGTTCTCCGAGTTGGGGATCCCTAAAACCCCAAACGCTAAACCCTGAACCCCCAAACCCTGAACCCTGAACCCCCAAACCCTGAACCCTGAACCCCCAAACCCTGAACCCTGAACCCCAAACCTAGGGTTTCAGGCTGAGGGCCTGGTCTGCTCGATGGAGGGGGGCGCAGGGTTGAATCTCTAGCCTCGGGACCTGGATACCCAGAGACTCCAAAACCCCTTAATTTAGGAATATATAGTGTAAACGACTATAATGGGAACCCCAATATGATGTAAAGTATATTCCTTAAATGAGGGATTTTGGAGTCTCTGGGTAGGGGGTGCCAGGGTTTTTCGGGGAAACAAAGGGGACCATTACCAATCCTTGACAGCTCTATGTCAATGTTAGGTGCAGCAAAGCTCAGAAATATTGGACACGAAGCAAAGCAAGAACCCCAGATGGCTGTAAACTATGAGGAAAGTTCCTAGCCGATGGTTGAGGTTCTACATGGCAGCATACCTTGGGAGTAGACAGGCATCCCAACCATCAGCCTGAAGAGCCAACCCGGAACTCTAGACCCTAAACCTTCTAAACCCTAAGCTCTGAACTCTAAACCCTAAACCCTAAACCCGAAGCCCTAAACTCTGAACTCTAAACCCTAAACCCTAAGCCCTAAACTCTGAACTCTAAACCCTCCGAACTCTAAACCCTCCGATTCAGCCTTGTACAACCCCGCCCGGGCATAGGGCGGCACATTGTAGGAGACGAGACCTCGGGTTTTCGTGTTCAGGGCTCCTTTTTGGGTTCCTTTCGGTACGGTTTAGGGTTTAGGGTTTAGGGTTTAGGGTTTAGGGTTTGGGAGTGGGGTTTAGGGTTCGGGGGTCTATCAGGGTTGCTATGAGGGTTGCGCAGCTTTCTCTTCTTTCTTAGAGCCGAGTTCACGGCGTCTGGCTTCGCTGCTTTGAGAATGAGGGTGCTTTCAGGTCACCCCAAATCCGTACATCCAAACCCCAAATTAGGCTTTTGGTTCCTGGGCTTTGCCGTGGTGGCGTCGGGTTTGGAGAAGGTGCAGTGCCAACTGTTTCAGCTGTAGGTTTGGGGTTTAGGGTTTAGGGCTTATCTGGGTTTTCTGTGCGAAGAGCCGGGATTGGCAGTAGGGTTGCTAGGGATTTGAGACACTTGGCAGTCTGCACCTGCACTCTTGCTCCGTGCGACACAAACGTAACAGCTGTCATCTTGCTGTTGTTGCTCTTACACCCATACTGATGAGTGGCTTTTACTAGTAATGCCGATGTTGTTGAGAGTAGGGGCAGCAGCAAGTGGCTGGACATGGCAGGTGCAAACGCTGTCGCTAGCAGCAGTGCCTTGCTGATGTTGATCTTACAAACACGATTAGTGGTAGTATCGCTGGTGGTAGGGGTGGTGGTAGTGATAGTAGTAGAAGTAGCAGTCGTCGTCGTCGACATCGTCGTCGTGCTTGTAGTTGTCGTCGCAGTGATAGTGGTAGTGTCAGTGGCAGTGGGAGTGGTACTGCTAGTGCTGGTGCTAGTTGTACTGGCAGTGGTAGTGGTAGTGGTAGTGGTAGTGGAGGCAGTAGTGGCGGCAGCAGCAGCAGCAGCAGCAGTCTTCATCGTAGCACCGCTTTAGGGCCTCAGGGTCAACGACTTTTGGCTCTGAGGCCAGGATACAGTCTTGCTTTGCAACATTTAGAGGGTTGGGTTTGGGGCCTCAGAGCCATGGCCCAAAACAGCCCCAGACTGTAAAAGTTACGATTCAACAGCTTCCATGGAATTTGGACACATCGAAATAACTGGTGTGACGTACATCCAAAGAGCTCTGCAGCGATTGATGCAGCGGTACGGCGTAAACACTGAAGACCTCTGATGGAGAAGCCTCTTTTCGAAGATCCCCCAGCTGTTCTTAATCAAGGGTCCCCAAACGCCGAGCCCGATCACTCGAAGCACGACAAAGCCAGAAGCCACAGAATGCACAGCTCAAAGTAACGAACCACGCTTCTACATGGCGTTTGGGGTTCAGGAATTGCTTGGCAGGCAAGAGGCATCCGTAGCCCCGCCTCGGTTTCGGCATGCGAACATGAAACCACCTACCGGATAACAAATCAGAATCATGTAGGCGTCTCCTTAGTATGATTATAGAATAATATGCCCCAAAACCCTATTCTAGTTGTTAAGGCCCCTACAATAGACCCGGCAACCCTTCAATGAGCTTTATCACCTCCTCCGCCGAGGCCACAGAGGGTCTTGCTGGGTCTTTCGGGCTCTACCTGGGCCCTAAAATGAAACCTTCCTGTTTTTCGGGCTCCTTAGTATGACTTTCTGAAAATATATCCTCAAGAAGGTGGGGCATCTGGGTATAAGCCGCTTAGGCCCTGAAATCCTCAACCGTTAGGGGCCACCCCAAACGGACCTCACAACGGACGGAGGGATCGATTGCTTCCTGAGGCTTCGCATCTCTTCCTCCGTAAAGTGTACTGGAAGCTTACCAGAGCCTAGCTTCTTGGTATGTGTGTAGTTCTCTAAATCAGGGTCCCTTTCAGGGTCCTTCTTATAAGGGTGCCGCACTATATTGCGGACCCAACAAGGAACCCTAATTTAGAGAACTAGCCATAGGTGCAAAACTGGGTCCTAGTAGTTTTGGGCCGTCATGCAAGGAATCCTAGTTGGAGCAGAGCTTGGGCGAGCATACTATGCTCTAGGCAACCGACAGGACATACGTGACAAGTTGTTTTTTGTATGTCATTTACGGGTTTAGTCGGTTTACTGCTTGACACCCTAATTAAGCCATAAAACTCTTATGAAGCACTTCACACCCCCAGAATCTCCTACAAGGCCAGTTACAAACTCGAGGAAGCAATCCTCAACCCCAAAACCCCTCGAACCTGAACCCTCCAATCTCCATAGGCCCCGAAGCCCGAAACCCTAAATCCATGACACCCTGCTTAACTAAGGCGCCTACCAAAAAAAAGCCTCCCTATAGATCATATAAGACCTTCTACAACCCAAAAGCAATCCAAGAAACACACCTTTAACACCCTCGCATAACCGTATAAAGGCTTCGGAAACCTTTACACACCAATCCTGAACTCCAAACCCCGAGGCCTTACGCCCCGAACCCAAATCCTGAACTCCTTTTCAGGAGTGCGGCTTCCCACCCAAGCTAAAAATCCCCACGCAGTTGCTAAAATCCCTCGTTTGGCCTGCCTTATTGAGAGCTTTAGGTTTGGGGGCTTGAGGTTAAGGCTCAGGGCTTTAACACCAAAGCCCTAAACCCCAGACCCTAAGCCAGCAAACTCCGACTCAAGGCCCCACTCCCCTTGTACAATGGTTGCCCGAGAGCCTCGCTAAAATCCTCAAAGTCTGGAGAAAGCCTCAACTCGCAGTAAAGCCCTGCCGCCCGAATGCATACATCCCAAAACCCTGAAGCCTTAAGCCCAACTAATATAAGGGCCTTAATAATTAAACGATGGTTTTGGGATATGCTATACTATCATTATAATATGGAGCCACCAAAATAGCTGCACCCCTCCTATACAACACCTAAAAGAGCCCTCTTCGGAACTGTAACAGCAAACCACGGTGGTTTAGGGTTTCTGCAGACCCCTCTACCCTAAAGCTCATCTTGAAGCAAAGCCGCCTCTTGGCGAGGATCGACTCACTCGGGTTGTTGGCGGCGTATAGATACCTCCAAACTCAACACACTCACTTACTTGCTTGCC